CCGTCCCTCCCGCCCTCGCGCTCTCTCCGTCCCTCCGTCCCTCCCGCGCTCCCTCCGTCCCTCCCGCGCTCCCTCCGTCCCTCCCGCCCTCCCGCGCTCCCTCGCTCTCTCCGTCCCTCCCGCCCTCTCTCTCTTGCGCTCTCCGTCCCTCCCTCTCTCTCGTGTATTACTTGCAACAGTTAGTGAGCCTATTGATGTGGAACTTGGACATTGCTGTACGCGTGCTGCTATTTTAATGTTACTACATTGTTTTGTACTCGGTTTCTCCGACTGCATTCTGGCAGTGACCCCCAGGCCCTTCTCCTCGAATAAACAATCCACAGCATCTCTCTCGGCTCTGGACCCATTTGTATGTCCACACCCCCAATCAGGCGGAGGCTTTGCCTATAGTCCTCAGTCAGCACTTCTCCAAATCACCGCTGGTTTTGTGCGCATGTGTGTGAGGATGGGTACGAGGTTGCGTGCGCGTGTGTGAGAGGGTGCGCGCGCGTGTGTTTGTGTGTGTGAGGGTGCAGGCGCACGTGTGTGTGTGAGGGTGTGTGTGTGTGGGTGAGGGTGCACGTGTGTGTGGGTGAGGGTGAGGGTGAGCAGGTGTGTTTGAGCGTGTGTGTGAGCGTGGGATGCGTGTGTTTGTGTAAGGGTGAGTGTGAGTGTCTGTGTGAGTGAGAGAGAGCGCGTGAGCGTGTGCGTGCGAGTGAACGTCTGTGAGAGCGCGCACCAGTGATGGGGGCACTGGATGGTTATTGGGATAGTGATGGCGTGCAGGATCATGGGGACATGGACACTGGCACTACGTTAATCGTGTTGGGGTTGGCACAATGGGCTGAATGGCCTTCTTTTGTATTGGATAATTCCTTGAAATTGGCGTCACATGTCGACAGGGTGGTGAGGAAGGTGTTTGGCACGCTTGCCTTCATTGGGCAGACCACTGAGTGTAGGCGTTGGGACGTTGTGTTGTGGTTGTACAGGACGTTGGTGAGGCCTCTTCTGGAGTATGGCATCCCATTCTGGTCACCCTGTTTCGAAAGGATATTATTAAACTGGAAAGGGTTCAGAAAAGGTTTACAAGGATGTTACCAGGACTTGAGGGATTGAGTTATAAGGAGAGGCTGGGACTTCTTTCACTGGAGTGTCGGAGGCTGAAGGGTGACCTTATAGAAGTTTATAAAATTATGAGGGGCATGGTTAAGGTGAATGGCCAAGGTCTTTTCTCCAGGGTAGTCCAAAACTAGAGGGTTTAAGGTGAGAGGGGAAAGATTTAAAAGGGACCTGAGGGGCAACTTTTTCACGCAGAGGGTGGTGTGTGTATGGAATGAGCTGCCAGAGGAATTGTTCGGGGCTGGTACAATTGCAACATTTAAGAGGCATTTGGACAGGTGGATGGATAAGAAGGGTTTAGAGGGTTATGGGCCACTTGCAGACAAATGGGACCAGATTAATTTGGGAACAAGGTCGGCATGGATGAGTGGAGCCGAAAGGTCTGTTTCTGTGCTCCATGAGTCTGGGACCCAATGCCTACTCTTATTTGAGGGCAGTGCAGTGGTGAGGTCTTACATTACACCAGGGGGATACCTGGCGATATTTGCTGAAGAATCCAAGAATGTGGATTAGACTGCCGCTACTGGATCCTTGAAAGGATCAAGTCTGGAACGGGTTTCTCTCCCACTGTGGTACAGTTGGGTCAGTTGTTGAGAGCAGGGGCTGTCCAGCTCCCTCCAGAGGCTCAGTGGGTCAATATACTCAGCCACTGATGGACCCTCCATCTGAACCCAATGTTCATTCCTAGTCTAGAAAAGTTTGATGCCCAGTCAGATAAAGAGATGACAAGATTGCTGACCAAAAACAGTTTGCTATTGCTGAAGGGCTTGCGGCGATATTGAGCGGCAAACGGGAATAGAAATCCCAAGGTGCAGGGGGATCTGGGGGATCCAGAGCATGTGTCACAGAATGTTTAAAAACCGGTACAGCAAGTTTTCAGGAAGGCTCGTGGGATTCTGATGTGAGTGTTTGAACACAAATGTTTCTACAAGACGTTGGGGAGACCACATCTCAAAGATTTTTGCTCTCCTTAACTAATAAAGGATGTAAATCTATTGGAGGCCGTTCTGGAGAGCTTGACCAGATTGATACCTGGGATCATGTTGTCCCACGAGGGAAGGTGAGACAGACTGGGCTTGCTTGCATTAGAGTTGACAAGAGTGATGGGGGGGCCTTAATCGAAGTGTGTAAGATTTTGAATGGACTCGACAGGGAGGATCGAGCAGGGGGAGTCCAGAACAGTTTAAAATCCCGAGAGAAAAGGACAGAGCTCAGGAGATATTTCTTTTCCCTGACGGTTTGAGAGACTTTGGAACACCCTGCCTCAAAAGGCAGCTTGGGCACTGAATATTTTCCATGGTTAGGTAGAGAGATTCCTGATGGGCAGGGCGAATTGAGGTTTTATCAGAAGTCAGTGGGAATGTGGAATTGGGAGCACAAAGAGGTCACAAAGTTATTGAAAGACAGAACAGGATTGATGTCCCACTCTCGCTCCTAACTCACACGTTCACGAAATCTAAAAAAGTCGCCAATGATTTATTTATAATGCAGGAATAATTTATTAAGCTGGAATATGGCAATTACATCATCCACCGTTGATAAAGAAACCAATTGGAGTCCAACATCACTCAATCCAACCCAACTAACTTCCACCCCTCCACCCCAGGAGTTCAACTCCACTCATTTCACACAAACACAACTGATTTTTAACTCGATTCACACCCAAATGACCTCAACCCAACCCTTCGGAGGGAAACTTGACCCAACGTAGTTGACATTTACAGATGAAAGAAACGGTCAAGACCCCAACTATTCCCAGTTGCTTTCCTGGATCGACCCTTGCACAGAGAAGGGGTGGATGGAGGTCCAGACCAACTCTTCATCAATGTCCTCAGCGTCGGGTTTCCATCTTCACTCTCACCGTTCAGACGTGAAGCAGGAAGTGGGACCCGTTTTGTGTTTGCGACGGCTGGTTTATAAGGAAGAGCTCCCTGGGCCACTCACCGTGACCTTCAACAGGAAGTTCCATCCCCAATTCCAATTCTGATTTACTCCTGTCCCAGCAAGTTATTGTCACATTGTAGGGGTTGGGGGGGGGCCCCGAAGACCATCGTTCTTTCAGAAGTGATTCCGAGAGGTTTTCAGTTCAATAGCGCCTGCTCCAAGATTATTGCAGACACTTGATTGGCTGTGAGGGAGCCCTGCTCTGATTATATCCCAGCTCATTACAATTGGAAAACTCAATTGTTAATCTCGATGTATTTTAACGAATGCATGAGGTCTCCAGCGTAGGATGTTACTTAATAGGTAACAATCATTCCCAAAGGCTGAGAACCAGGAGGAGCTATCTCCCCGGGGATAGTACAGTTTGCGGTTTGTGTGAATGGTCACCAACGGGCAGAGTGGTCTGTAGAGGTGGATTGTGGTGGGGTTGGAGGCGGGGAGCAGATTTGGTGGCCTCGTTCCAAACTAGGCAAAGGGTTGCAGTCTAGTCTTAAGTAGCTGCTGATTCGATGAGAAGCGAATGAGGTCGGACAATTAATGTCTGCAGGGATTCCACGCCGGGAGATTGCTTCCTGGAAACTGGGAGAGAAATGTCAACGTGCCGTCTTCACGAAGCGATCGAGAAACAAGAAGGTGGTTGTGTGTAGCCGAAATATGGTTCGTCGCGAATAAGCCCGAATCAGGTAAATGGAATTGCACGGACACAGCCGAGGGGAAGGCGGTACTGTCCCTACCTCTGAGCTGGGAGGTCTTATTCAAGTCCCCCCCTGCTCCAGAGGTGCGTCATGACATCTCTGAGGCAGGTTGAATATAAAATAGATGTTCACGGTGGAGGTTCAGATGCACTCTCGGTGAATGGGTTGGCAGATTAGAGGGACTGAGTGGCCTCCTGTTCTCCCCCTTTTTGATCCTCCCTTCTCTCTCTCTTTCTCTCTAACATGCTCCATGAACGACACTGAAAGCTGAGCTCTCCCTTCCACCAGGCACAGCTTCCCTTCCATGTGGCTGGGGATTTGACAATCCCGCTCTCCCCGTTGCGTAGTCGGGGTAAATGTTGGGGGTGAGGCAGGAGTGACAGACGCCTCCCAATCGCCACGTTCCCTCATTCTCGACGTGACTGACGATGGAAGGGATCAGGCTTTCCGACCCCGTCTCCCAGTCAGATGTTGGATCCCCAGCGATTCTCTCGATGGGGCTGTCCCACTGTCTCTCCAACACCCCTCACCACCCAGTCTCCTTCATCTGCTTCCTTGGACCTGTCTTTCCCTACGTCCCCCTCTCCCCTACCCCCGGCATGAGCTGTCAAACCCGTTAGCCCATTCCTACCCCCTTTCACGATGGAGAAAGCCTGTGGGTAAAGGGGGTAAGCTTCCCTCAGCCCCACCCCCTTCCCTCAGTGTTAACTGTCGACTCTGGGAAGGGTCTTGACTGGGTGCTCATGGGAGACATGGCTCCTCTTGTGGAAAGGTCTAGAACTAGGAGGGGCCGCTGTTTCAAAATGAAGGGGCTTTCTTTACCATGGCCCCGGTGGGGGGGCATTTCCTGGCCTGTTCCCTATTGCCCTCTTATGGCTGGACTCCTTTGGGGGAGCCACTTTGGAGGTTGATCAGGGTGTCGATTGCCCCAACCATGGATCTAGGGCAGTGGGGTCTCCTTCCAAATCTGCTCCCGGCCCAAACCACACACACCACCACTCCCCCCCCCCCCCCCCCCCCCACCCCCCCCCACCCCCCCATCACCACACACATATCCCAGGATGCTCGCCGACACCAGAGGCGCTACGTCAATGCAGGCCGTCCTTGGTTTCCCGGCCTTTCTCCCCAGCTTTACTCACTGGGCGGCGGGGTGGAGGTGGTGGGGGTCATGTCTCAGTGGCACTGTCGCCCAACCACCCCCACCCACCCCCTCCCTTGCAAGACTCCGACTTCAAGCCCCAACCCAAGCTCTGGGCACCAGAACCTATGGATGGCACTGCGGCACCACCTTTTCAAGGTGTGATGTTAAACAGAGGCCCCCCCTCCTCTCCCCACCCCCCACCTCAACCCACCCCCCCAACCCCACCCCGACCAGCTCAGAGTGGGCACCAAAGGTCCAATGCCCATGTTCACCCCAGTGCCTGGCACCAGGCCGCAAAAACAACCTGGTCGCTGGAGTCTCATTTGGCTGGGGAATGGAAGGTAGTCGGGGAATTCGGGGGCACAGCGATGGTGTTGCGAGGGGCCGAATGGCCTACTGCAGCTCCTATCTCATGCCTTGGGAGAATCATTATCACGTCAGTGTTTGTTGGAGCTTTTTGCAAACAAATTAGTTCCCATGTTTCCTACCATACCGCAGTGGGTCCACTACACTGGCCACTGGTTCCTTTGGGATCATGAAAGGTGACTGTATCATTGTGGGTCTTTTTTTCCTTGTACCCACACTAGTGACGAAGGCGTTTGGTACGCTCGCCTTTAGTGGTCAGTGCATTGAGTATAGGAGTTGGGAGCTCATGTTGCAACTGTACATGACATTGATTAAGCCACTTTTGGAATACTGTGTTCACTTCTGGTCCTTCTGCTGTGTGAAACTTGAAAGGGTTCAGAAAATACTTACAAGAAGGTCGCTGAGACTGGAGGGTTTGAGCTATAGGGAGAGGCTGTATGGACTGGGGCTATTTTCCATGGAGCTGAGGGGTGACCTTATAGAGGTGTATAACATCATGAGGGACATGGATGGGGTGAATAGCCAAGGTCTTTTCCCCCAGGGTGAGGGATTCCAAAACGAGAGGGGCATAGGTTTAAGGTGAGAGGGGAAAGGGACCTGAGGGACAACTTTTTCATGCAGAGGGTGGTGCGTGTCTGGAATGAGCTGCCAGAGGAAGTGGTAGAGGCTGGTACAATGTCAACATTTAAAAGGTATCTGGATGGGGACATGAATAGGAAGGGTTTAGAGGGATATGGGCTAAATGCTGGCAAATGGGACTAAATTAATTTAGGATATCTGGTCGGCATGGACACGTTGGACCAAAGGGTCCATTTCTGTGCTGTACAGCTCTATGACTGTATAATGCCCAGGCTGGAAGGTGCCCGTGGAAGAGGGGCAGGCAGTTGGCAGAGATGACCCCCCTCACCTCCACAGCCCGCTGCCTGGACCTGTGAATGGCCAACTTTTGGCCAGGCCAGGGAGCAGACCCAAAAGGAGGTCCTCCAATCTGCTCACAGCCCTCCGCACCAGCTGAAGTGCAACAAGAAACACAACAGAAAGTTTCTCAAATAACTAAAAAGGAAGTCTTTTTTTCCCTGAAGGCAAAAATGAATAGGTTTTTGAACAGGAAAGGAGTTAAGGGTTATAGTGAGCGGTCGGGTAATTGGAGCTGAGTCCGCAAAAAGATCAGCCGTGATCTTGTTGAACGGCAGGAGCAGGCTCAAGGTGCCGAATGGCCTCATCCTGCTCCTAATTCTTATGTTCGATCAGTGCAAAATCCCCGAACCAACGTAGACGCGGTCCATGGGCTCCATGGTGCCACAAAATGAACTGCCGGGCTGTGAACTGCTGCAGTCGGCGGTATTGTGGGTTCGTGACCGAATGCGGTAGTTATCCTGTAACTCAAACTATTGAAGCATCTACTTACCAGGAAAAGTGAGTGCTCAGTAACTACCGTGTTGACCTTTGGGTTCACAGCATCCTTTGTAACACACATAGCCGCTCGGGCAGTCTTTATTGCTCTTGCAGTACCCTGCACGGACAAGGTGAGAACAATCTGGTTACCTTCTGTCTCCCGCATGTGTGCAGGGAGGGCCTGAATTCGACTAGCGCCTCCCATCCGAAAGCCGGGCTGACGCTTGGCACCGGCTATTATTGCCCTGCGGGGGGGGACGTGCGACAGACCGCTTCACCCGTCTCCGCTCCCTCTGAGGAGCCGGCGTGTGGGTTCCGTTGCTAACGATCAACCCTCTTTCGCCCTCTCCAAATGTATTGGATGAGTAACAATCTCCACTCCCCCAGCTACTTACAGGGAAGACTGTTATCATTGTCTTTAGACCCCAAACCATAGTCCGCTCCCCCACCATCAACTCTGTTCCTCTCCCCTGGCACTCACTCATTGGCACGCTTGGCGCTGTGTTCACCTACAGCGAAGTTTCGTCTGTGCTGTTGCCGAGCTCGCCTCTGTCGCATCCGCCCCTGCTGATGGGCCGCCGAAGCCCTCGCCCCTCCCTTTCGTTACCTCCAGACTTGACCGGTACTAGGCATTCCTCGCTCATCTGGCATTTTCTTCCCTCTGTCAGCTTGAGGTCATTCAGAGCCCATCCAGATTCAACCCCCCCACACCTCCCCCTCAATTAATGTCACGCAGCCCTCGCCTTCAACACCTCTCCCCCACCTCTGACCTCTGTTTCACTAATAAAGAAAGCCAAATCCACCACCTTCCCCAAACTTTCAGCTGAACCATTGAGCCAATTTTGTAGTAGACACAGAGAGTTGCCAACCGCACGTGTAGGGCCATCCTGGGGAGTGTTGGGAAGAGTCAGTATTTGGCTGGGACATCCAAATGTCTTTAATCTAATGTGGGGTGGATGAGTGAGGAGGGAGAGCAGCAATGGTAAAGACGGTTGGATATTGAGGCAGGAAGATATCAGGAGGAAAGACAGTCAATTTCACAGTTCCTTGAAGTGGTGTCGCAGGTAGACAGGATAGTGAAGAAGGTGTTTGGTACAGAGATAGTAGGAACTGCAGATGCTGGAGAATCCGAGACAACAAGGTGCAGAGCTGGATGAACACAGCAGGTCAAGCAGCATCATAGGAGCAGGAAGGCTGACGTTTCGGGTCTAGACCCTTCATCAGGTTAAGATCCAACGGGTTTATTTGAAATCATAAGCTTTCGGAGTGCCGCTCCTTTGTCAGGTGATGTGAAGCTGAGTCCACGCAAAGATGAGTCATGAATTGCAGAGCAGTCTCGATGGGCTGAATGGCCTACTCCTGCTCCTATTTCTTATGTTCTCATAAGCGGAAAAGCCTGCAACCGATATATACGTGGCCTGTGGACCTGATGAAGGAGCAGCGCTCCAAAAGCTTGTGATTTCAAATAAACCTGTTGGTCTATAACCTGTTGTTGCATGATTTCTGACCTTGTCCCACTCCAGCCCAACACCAGCACCTCCACATCATGGCTGCTATAGGAAAGATTTTGTTAAATTTGAAAGGGTTCAGAAATGATTTACAAGGATGTTGGAGGGTTTGAGCTACAAGAAGAGGCTGAATAGGCTGGGACTATTTTCCCTGGAGCGTCGGAGACTGAGGGGTGACCTTATAGAGGTTTGTAAAGATCATGAGGGGCATGGATTAGGGTAAATAGCCAAGGTCTTTTCCCCAGGGTGGGAGAGTACAAAACTAGAGGGGCATAGGTTTAAGGTGAGAAGGGAAAGATTTGAAAGGGACCTAAGGGGCAACTTTTTCACACAGAGGGTGGTGTGTGTCTGGAATGAGCTGCCAGAGGAAGTGGTGGAGGCTGGTACAGTTACAACATTTAAAAGGCATCTGGGTGGGTACATGAATAGGAAGGGTTCAGAGGGATATGGGCCAAATGCTGGCAAATGGGACTAGATTAATTTAGGATATCTGGTCGGTTTGAATGAGTTAGACCGAAGGGTCTGTTTCCGTGCTGTGTGACTCAACAACTCTGTGACAGTGACGAACAGGAAGGAGT